AATTTTTTTTTTGCGGCTACGGGTTGAAATGGTAAACGTGTTATATATCCTAGAAGCGCTCAGGCATAACTATATCATGCCAGGACTTCTACCTGGGTGAACCAGAAAGGATATAGAACAACTGCCTAAATTTTTTTTTTACGGCTACGGGTCGAAATGCTAAACGTGTTATATATCCTAGAAGCGCTGAGGCATAATAACATCATGCCAGGACTTCTACCTGGGTGAACCAGAAAGGATATAGAACAACAGCCAAATTTCTTTTTTTCGGCTACGGGTCGAAACGCTAAACGTGTTATATATCCCAGAAGCGCTGAGGCATAATAACATCATGCCAGGACTTCTACCTGGGTGAACCAGAAAGGATATGGAACAACTGCCGAAATTTTTTTTTTTGCGGCTACAGGTTGAAATGCTAAACGTGTTATATCTCCTAGAAGCGCTCAGGCATAACTATATCATGCCAGGACTTCTACCTGGGTGAACCAGAAAGGATATAGAACAACTGCGTAAATTTTTTTTACAGCTACGTACGGTTACGTTTTTTCCTACGCGTCGAAGTTCTAAACGTGGTATTCTTAGAACTGAAGCGCTCATGATTTTAGCTGATTTTGCGGTGCGCAAGAATGGATAATTTACCCGACTTGTAAACAGATATTTCCTTCAGCCGATTGTGTCTCATGCAGGAGAATGTCATGTCTGCGTTGTTTTGTTTCCACTGAAGTTTTATCAAAGAAAGCTTAATAGGGAGATCGCAATTTATACTCTTACGAACTATAAATTAGAGCTGACCTGGAAGACGCGTTGAATTGTGCCGCCATCCTTCAAAATATAATCTGGCTGCGTTTAGGGAGACAATTTCCTCTTCCATCCAGATTTACTTGGTATATGTGTTTGCGAGAATCTTCAGACAAAGAATTGGGTATACACTGATTCGAATGGCCTGGCGATACTAAGTGCTTAAGTCTACTTACCGATTACAACATGTTTTGGAATTATTGAGAAGCGCGCCAAACGAGGTTGTCACAGCGTTCTCGAGCGAACACGGCGCGACCTGGATTGATAAAATTACTTTTACATGCAGCTATCATGCCAGTGATTTCCCCTTTCGTCGCATAGTGAATAGTTTGTGAGCACATCCTCGACTCTCGAAACATTTGTCTTGCGCCACTATAGAAGTTGCTTCTCCCGCGAACCATAGATAGACTTCCCGCTTAACATAATGTTTGATAATTTATGCAAAAGTTGACCTCGTGAAAGTCAGCAGTGCATTAATCGACTCAAAAATAAACAGACTTCCTACAGGGTTTTGAACACGGTTTTAATTAAAGTACTTTACGAGCGCTGCGGTAGTTGACCGCAAAAGTGTTACGGTGATGGATACTCAACTGGATGATTACGTCACTTCTTAGCAACCAGACGGTACGAATTTTTTAACTTCCGGAGCGCTGAGGCTCGTAGTGTATAAATAGAACGGCTTGTTTCCCGCGAAAAGTGTCATATTTCCGTGAGTCTCGTATGTCACCGTGAAAAAAATGAAGTTGGATGAAGTCGAACTCAGAAGCCCGTCCTTCGACCGTTTTCCTTTTTTACTATACGTCCATTTTTACAATTTTACAGCCGCTGGGATCTGGGTATCATGAAATAAAAGTTAATGAATTACCCGACTGAGACTGAGCATGAAGCGATGGGACAAAGGCAGCGAACCGAGGATTACGGAAAGGTTATCTTTGCGAGTGTTTGTTTTTTTTTTTTGCCGTCATGAATCCCACATTTAAACATGCACCTTGAAAAGAGTCGACGATTAAGCGTTCTGTGGACAATGTGGAACTTTTCGATGATCAGCGCCGAAAAAGTGCCAGGATCATTTGATTTTTGTCATCACCGTGGAGTGGATTTCGCCAGTTATTAAAGCACCGCGTGCAAAAGCGATGACCTAAGTAGCAACTAACGAGGAATGCTTCAGTTTCGAAATTTGAGAAATTGCAGCCTTCCTTTACAACTGACTTGTATCATCATGAGAGTTGCCTGATAAAACTGGCACTTGAAAAGTTGAACAGAAGACAACAGTTGCTCGACCGTGAAGAATTTGTGACATCGCGCACTTATCGACACCAAAGACGCACTTATCTCAAGAAAAACAAAATGGATTGTATCTGCGCCAAAAGAATTATGACTGACTAACAGGACAATTCTCAGCAGTTAATGTAGAAGTTTAGGCTCAATTCTCATCTGTAGATCACTTTTTTGCGAGAAAACAATGGCTGGGCCCGGCGTTACAAAACATAGCAGGGAATCATCACACTAGCTGACGGACAAAACAACCACAAGGACTACAAGTATTTATTCAGGTAAACGCATTTCGGAAAAACAAAAAACTTGAAAAACTAGAAATTTGATTAATATTGAGTCATTTAGCCTAAATAAGAACCTTAACGCTTAAAAAAACGAATCCTGTCAGAACTACAGACTGCAGGTAGTAGTTAATCATTACGCATGTAACAGACCAGCTTCATGGCAGCTTAATAATGTGAGACAAGCAACCAAAATTAAGATTAACGTAGTCAGAGTTTAAAACTCTCCACAGTATAATCTACCCGCTAGAAAGAAAAGAAGGAAAACCTCTGAGGGATGAAAACGCTAAAGTCACGTTTCACTAGCTTATGATTGTGTTTGGCCTGTCAACACCGAATTTCCTGCTGTTTGATGAAGTACAATAGCAGTGTCATTTCGTCGTTGTGATTGGCGCTTCCCAACGACGGCGCGCGAAGTCTCCCCTGGGAACCGTTCTAATTATAAATCTACTCGGCAAAGGGTTGACTCCAAGGGCTTGTATGGGAGATGGAGGCTCCATTTGATGAGCTCCTGCCTCAAGACGATGTGCAACACCGCTGACAGAGTACGTTGTGTAAAACCACTGAAAATTTATTGGAAACCCCGCCAAAAAATCCCGCCAAAAATATCCTAACTCGAAAATCCAACTCGAAAATCCACCTGGAAACCCAACTCGAAATCCTGACTCGGTAAATAGGCAACCTCGTCCGCGCATTGCATTTTGCTCGTTCTGTGTTAAGTTCAGGGTAAGGATTTACTAACGATGACAAACACAATAACCCGAAGCGAGGATTCTGACATCGATGTAAAGATTCGAAAGAGCGCCTGATATACATCGCTATGTATACGGCCCTAGACGTAAAATTGATGGACACAAAAATTCCACCATTTTTAAATTCTCTTGATAAATTCTCTTTAAAATTTTGTTGAGCTTGCAACTTTTATTACAATATAAAGTCAATAAACGCCTCCTTTGAGTCTCCTGTCTATACGCCCCCACGTGGGTCCCAAAATTCAATAAAGGTCCCGGACGTCCGAGCGTCTAATGGATCAGCAAGAACCTTGAATGCGCAAAATATTTTAGATCTAAAAAGAACGCAGTCGATTAGATTTAGCAAAGAAAACTCATTATTAAACCGAGATTGTATTTCAGATTTTTTAATTTCACTCATGAATGAAAAAATAAAGTAGCAATAGAACCCAAAAAACAACACGACATTTTAGGGGCACAAAAGTACGTGGATGGTCACCATTCACACAGCCGCATCCTATCCGTTCCAAGGGATATACTTCCAAATCAAAATCACTCTAGGAATTTATTAAATAAAATATTATCTCGTGAATCAAATTCGGTTTCCAAGTATCATTTGAGTGCGTGGTTCAAACTCCGATTCAGTCTCCTCTGGAACCGATTGATCATAATTTGAGAAATATCATTCCAATCTGAAAACTTTCCCAACCCACTAGTTTGTGACTAATTTAAGCGTATGCGTACACTTCAGTTCCCTGAATTTATATTTTTCCACGTTAACACTGACCGTTTCTAATTACCGATACAGGACGGTCCTTATTTTATTTTCATTACTACAGTAGTACTCTTCAAGGACGCTTATTTATTTAAAGAACTAATGGAAAACAGGTCATGTAGAAAAGCTAATACTAGCATCACCAACTTCGCCCTTTTCAAATACTTATCTAAGTGTGAAAACAGGTTTTGCCTTTGCAAAAGGGTAACCGACGAACGGGGGAAAAGCTCTTAGACTCTCTGGGAAAGGCCTTTTCCTGGGGACAATCGCTGACTGCGGGAAGGCACGGAATCTTTACGCCTGTTGAATACCCTTGAGACAACGACCACAACAGAACTTGGCTCTAATGTAGAAGTTTTAATCCAAGACTATACCGCGGGTACAGTCAAAACATAACCAACCAAAATCTAACCAAGGCTACTAGATGCAACGAGGATGTAACCGAAGAAGCTCCTACAAAGCACTCGTATTTAAGCCTAAGCTAGCGAAGCGATACAGATTAGATCACAACTTAACGAGTCAAATTACAGAGCGCAACAATCATTTCTAAAAGACTATTGGTGGAAACCTCAGCTTGTTTTGAAACATTAATTACTTCCAAAAGCTACGCAGGTGGATAAGGGCTTTTTTGCAGGTCAAATTACACTGACTTTGAAGACTAAAAGCAATTATGACTTGACAAATAAGTTTACGCTCGATAAATCGACACGTTGTTTACGTCTAAAAGAAGTTAAAACTAAAGAATATAGGATTTTTACATTGGCTTTTCATATTTTTATCAGCGAAAGCAAAATAACTACACAACAATAAATTCTCTCGTCACATTAGTAAAACAACAACGATGACAAAAAAAAAAAGTAAAACCTGAACACTCACATACAATCTCAAAATGAGATAGTTTTGTTAGGGCGTACCAACTCTGAGGAGCAACTGAGAGAAATACAGCCAACGATTTTTATCTTGGTTTCCCAGTGTATCCTTTATTTTCCGTGTTATATGCTTCAGTCTAATGTATAATGGTTACTTATTTTCTTTTGTTTATCCTCAAAAAAAAAAACAAAAAACGACAGGATCTAGAGTTAAGTTAAGCTAGCTTTTGTTTGGCGCCAAGGGGGCAAATTAGCCCAGATCAGTTTCATTTCACTGTACCAAAATATATCCCATTGCCTTAATATACTTCGCGCCATTATCTGAAGTACGGGAAGCCGCGTTACCACAAGAGATGGTATTATCAGGCCATCCACCAGTGCCAAATCCAATTCTAGAGTTGCAAGAGTGGCAATCGTCTTGGTCGTTACCAATGATACCGATTCTGGCTTTGGAAGCTGCAGAATTTTTACTAACAGCATTGAATCCTTCCTTGTTACAGTTGAGCTGCAAGGAGGCCTCAGAACCAATTAGTGACTTCCAAGTGTCACGACCCAGCGATGTGCCGCGGTATTGCCCATCAGCGATCAGAGAGTACAAGGAATTCGCTTGCCGGTTGATGACAATAAACCTGATCTGTTGGCCGAGCTTCATACCGAGGCAGATCTTGGAGAAGGAAGTGTTCCAGTAGGAGGGCAGTTTAGTCTCTTTTGAGTCAAAACCAGTCTTCCCTCCGTTAAGGTTAAAGGTCTCTTTGTTTCTCCAAAAGGCTGCATCGTAATGAAATGTTTGCTATGGTAGAAAGGAGGAAGAAATAGGAAAAATGTCCTTTAAAAAGAAAAGTTCAAATTAAGGTTTCTTTTTCTTCTTAAGACAACATCCTTTCAGGAGAAGGGAAAAAAAAGGAATTTGTAATGAAAGATCAATTATAGTGAAAAGAATATCTACAACGTCCTTGTTTCTCCAGATTTATAAAATGAAGTTAGTCACAGCAGGCGAAATGGCGTTAATGGTCACCGATAGAATAAAAAGTAAACAAATACTGCGCTCTTTAATCATTGATGCGATTGAAAAATGCCGAATTGAATTTAATTATCTTTACTTCTCGCGTATTCGCAAGTACAGAGACCAGAGGCCTCTGTGTTTTGATATGAAAACCTTCACATCGTCTGACAGGAAAAGCGGATGATGACCTCTGCTACTGACCGAGATATTCCAGAAGCTTAAAGGTGTTCTTAATACTTAAATCTTTCAGATCCAAGGACTTAGCATGTATACGCACGAGAAGAAAAGTTGGAGCACCGAAGGCACTTCAAACTTGGAGGACTGGGGGTTATGCTTCCCCAGAAAATGTTACAATTTTACGTCATTAGTATGGAATTTCTGTCGCTGAGGTGCAGACGTTCCTCCTGGTGGAACGTCCCTAGCGACGAGGAGCAAGGAGAAACGGCTGTATTCGCAGGCTAGCCTAAGGATAATTGAAAATTACCGCTGACAGAGGTAAACCTGTATTTAATTATTAATAACACATTTTTTTCCACTCTCGTCGCCAAACTAAGGGAAAACGTACACAAATGTCTTACCTTGTTGCCGTCCATCTTCATGACCGGTGTCCATCCTCCATCTCCGCATCCAATATTTCCAAAGTGACAGAGAACTGAAACTAGTTTGGAGTCAAGGAGGAGAGTGACCAACTGAGTCACGTTCGAGCTGTACAAAATGAAATATCATTATATTTTTATTTTTCCAGCTCCTAACTATCGCGCATCGCAGGCTATTTATCTATGGTTTTATACACTGACAAAGACGGAGCTTTGATAGCGGTAGACGAAGGACTGTTTCACAGGTATATAACGGGCAATAAAGAGTACTTGTAGTCACCAACAAAAGTGGCCGGCAAAAGGATGTATGTCATGGTATCATGCTGTGAGACTTCGTGGTCCTGAAGGTGTTAAGACAAATTTACTAGGAAAGGACAAGGCAACTAAATAAAAAAGTGATAACTAATTAAGTTCGTCAGTCAAGGAAGACACAAGAACACAAGACACAAGAACTGCGTAAGAGAGTAGCTGTGGGACTCAATTAGCTCAAATATAATTATACGTACTGCGTACTGAAGGTAGCTAAGCTGACGGTTTACTTGCGACACCACCATCATCGCATTTGCCAGGAAGAACCTCGAACAATTGCAATCGAAATAACATAATGACAGCTGATAAATCACTTTACTGTCTTATATTTGGATCTCACTCAGACGGGCAAAACAAGCAGAGTTCGGGCGCATTCAACTGCACCGACATATTTCGTTATTTTAAGATCCTAAAAAGTAACCTTTGTAATTTTTACTCACATTTTCTTGTCAAAAAGATCCTTACACGATGAAACTGCACAACAAAATAAACAAGGGGGTAATTAATAGGCCAGAGTTGTCATATAAAGCTTGAAGAAAACAAGCCTATTAGAGACCTGTACAGTCTAATTATTCACATTAAAGTAACCGATTGAACCGAATTACTACCATACAGAACTGACCCAAACTACACAATCTGGTGACTTCCCTTAACACGCTTTTGGTCTAGCCGAGCATAATAATCGGCGTATATCCCGGCACCCAATAAGGGCGAAACAGCCGTCCATGCGGCTGCCACTGCCAGGGTATGGTTCTGCGCATGTGTAAGGTAATGGCCATACCGCGGAAAATCTCGGAGTTGGTACGTGTGCTTCAGTGCTTAAATTGGTATTATTCTCTACAAGACCGTTAAACGATGTTACAAGAACAGATGAGAAGAAAAAAGTAGTCTCCTTAATCAAAATAAAGACCAGCTCATAGCTACGGGAATTGGTTTCTCTCTTATGGTCACAAATTTATTCTTATTTCAACTTTCAGCAGGATTCTTTTAAAAAGATACCTTTAATATTAAAAATGCTTTCCCAACCATTTTCTGTTTGAAAAGAAGACCTACGACTGTCTTCAGTTATATGTGTGTCCATATTCTATATCAAGACCCATTATGGCTCTTGTCTATATATAAAAATACCGCCTTTTAACCGTCATGGAATAATGGCCAAGTAAATTGTACTTTTGGCACTGAGTGACTTAACGGTATTGTCTGCTTACATAGTTGTCATTCTCACCTGGTTCACATTGCTGTCCATCTCTGTAATATCCCGGATGACAAGTGCAGTTGTATCCTCCCTTGGTATTATTGCAGTAAGCATTTGCACCGCACTTGTGGGTATTTTTTGTGCATTCGTCAGTGTCTACAAAAACAGATTATAATTAGTCCATCAGATGGAGAAACTCGCCAAAAATGCAAGGTTGGCTAAAAGCTTTTGCTGTAGAGCCTAATGGCCGGAACATGGTGAACCCAAAATTAAAAATGGCCACAACCATGCATTGGACATATGTACCCTTCAGGAGCCTATACTTCATGAGAAAGAAAACGAAAAATCACAAGAAAAACATTGAAGTTCCAGACTTAGCCTAGATCAGGCTTCTTAGATGAGAAAAGGGACGAATAGGAGGCTGTTCACACCATTATTCGCTTTTTTGCTTCCTACTAAGGAACCTGATTCCAGGCCGATCTACATTTGAGGCTAAGAAATTAATAAAAGTAAACGCCAAATGCTACATACCAGTTTCACAGAGTAGAAGGTTCATTAAATTGGCAATCTGTCAACAGTTTAACTTTCTCAGTTGTACCACTGAAACATTTGCCAGATAGACAAATATGTGATTTTGCTTCAAACAGTACACATCTTTCCCTGTTAGCAGGGGCCTACAGTTTTTCCCTGGTACTAGGCGGGATACCAGGTGCTAGCAGAGAATACACCTCTTTCACTATTCTATATTTATTATAAGGTAAGGTATAATAAAGTGAGAATTTACCTAGTTCACATGTTTCTCCACTACATTGCGGATTGCATGAGCAAGCGAAAGCGTCTTTTTCTTTGTCGAACAAACAAGAACCTCCGTTGAGGCATCCAGCCATCAGACAACCCTGCAGAAAATCACATTTTACTTGGGTAACCAAAAGTTGTTTTCCATCGACTTCCTGCAGCTTTTTACACTAGCAAATGTTTTAGGGCAAAAATGTTCGAATTCATGTGATCCTTGATGAGTGCGTACTGAAATCTTAAGATACTTTTTAAGGCGCAGTGCAAATCATATCTGTACAATATATACTTTGAACTTAGAAACCAAAATACTATTTCCATAAATTACAAGCTCGACGGACTCTCGTTGAATTTTTGAATTGCACTGCACATTTTTCTTAACTGTAATTTAAAAACAAGTAAACCAACTGAAGGCAAGAATAGATAGCCGTCGATAACATTAAAAAATTTATTTGTCGCGGATTGAAACTGGTAGCAAAAGGCAGTGAATATAACTGGCTCCAATACAAGACATATCCCCGCTTTGGATGCCATTTTTGATAAATGTATCCTAATAAAACTCAAATTTACTGTTTTTCCAACAGAACAGAACAGATGTGTATTAGTTAAAATTTATTTGAACGCAATTCTTATATCGCGTACGTTGTGGACAAACCTCTCTTCGACTTACCTTAAGAAACATTGAAAACGTTGTGCCGGTATTATCAATGAGCTTGGAGTCATCATCTACAGTTATTGAAAACTCGTGCTTGTTCAGTTCACAGTTGCCTGAGGACTCTTTGACGTTAGCAGAAGTACACCAAGAATGCCTTAAACAAGCTTGACTGCATGACATTTCATCGGTAGAATCGATTCTCTTTACAGCATAGCCATGTAAACGCTTGTTCTCTTGAGCTACTATGTAGGAAGATCTAGATTCTTCTTCGGCCGCCAAACCTGCTCGAAAGATTAAACAGAATATGACTGAGCAAATCATTTCATCCGGCCTCCTCTGTAATCTCATAGCGCCGTTTTCATCAACAAGGTGTGTGTGTGTAACAGAGCGATAAAAGGGAAGTTTTCTCAGGTAGAATTTGCAAGGAACCCTAATATATAGTAATTGTTAATAATAGCATGCTAAATTTATTAATAAATTTGAGCTCGATTGACTTGTACGTTGTCAGTGACGTGTTCTGTCAAAAGCAAAGATAGCGTAAATGATCTAATAGGCGGTCACTCTCAAATAAAGTTTGCACTAGACTTCCCTAAATGCACACTGTCTAATTTCGCAGCTGAAAGGAAATATATTTTCCGCTGTTATTCCAAGTAATTAGTCGCAGTTGTTTTCGTTTCACACCTGCCGTACCCACTATTGTGCATTCTGTTTTACATGGATGTCCTGATTGGCCAGTTATTAGTACTTATACTCTCCGCTGTCTCTTGAGTACCATTAACGCTCGCGGTTCCATACAGTTTATTCATCTTTATGGTTTGTGTTCTGCTATTCGTGTGATGCCCAACGACCAAAAACAGAGCGAAGGTTCGTCCGTTCCGGCTGAAGTAGGCCAAACGTCTTCAGGTGATAGTGGAGGCAACTCAGCAGCCGTTGATCAAGTCTTTTCCATGTTTAAGGATTTTCTTGAGAAAAAATTAGAAGATAAAAGAAAAGCAAATCGAACAAAGGAGTAAGCTAGATAAAGAAGTTGTACAGCTACGGTTCAAAGGGAACCAGAAACAATTTGAGCCTAATGCCGAATTAGATGCCATTTTGTAAGCATTGAAATTGAAAGTGAAAGCATCGAGCCAAATTTGTCGCAAATCAAGAAACTTTCCAAAGAAGGCAGGCAACGTATTGGAAAGCGACAGAAGCTGATAAAAATCGCTGATAAATAAGTAGCGACGGCTGGCAGGTTGTAGTCAAGTACGAGTCGGACGAGCTTGCATCCGGCTCCGAAGATGAAAAGCGTCTTAAGAAGGCAAGAGAAGCGCCGAGCCGCAAGAGACGTCAAAAGAAACAACTCTCTAGTGATCGTGGAAAGAAACCAAGAATTGCTTTGGGCGCTGATAATCAGCTTTTTCGTGGTAAGAAAAAGAGCCTCCTCTTTACTTTGTATATTCATGTGTTTTGGATCCGTTTGCGCATCCTACCATATTTCTCGTGTGATTTGTTTGCATTACGGGAATTAATTTAAGGGTAAAATGATTTACGTTCGTTTGAGCGAAGCGAATTAGAACGTAAATGTATTTTCCGCTGTTATTCCAAGTAATTAGTCGCAGTTGTTTTCGTTTCACACCTGCCGTACCCACTATTGTGCATTCTGTTTTACATGGATGTCCTGATTGGCCAGTTATTAGTACTTATACTCTCCGCTGTCTCTTGAGTACCATTAACGCTCGCGGTTCCATACAGTTTATTCATCCCCCTCCCGTTTACTTCAGGTTTCGTCATTGCTTTTATCTTTCAGGCCGTAGAGACACTTCTGGCGACTTCTTTCGCTGTTTCAAATGCGGCAAATTTGGACAGACTGGGCCAAGGACTCTAGATCCATGTTCTGGCCGGCAGTTACCAGTCCCCTAGCTACAATTCTTGCCCTGGAAGGGGGGATTTGCATAATGGGGGTTTTGTTGTCAACGAAGACAAATCGGTATGGGAACCCACCCAAGTATTGGACTGGTTGGGTGTAACCTGGAATTCTTCACTGGGTACTTTAAAAATTGTAGAAAGAAGAATTGTTAAGATCATTAATACAATTGATCATATTATTGAAGCCGATTTCAAAGTGTCTGCGAGAGAGAGTTGGCCTCCTTTACAGGTCAAATTATTTCTACCGGGCCTGTAGTTGGTAACATTGGTAGGATAATGACCAGACATTGTGTCTTGTCCACTTTGTGCAAAGATAACTGGGATTCTATATTCCGTCTCGACGATTACTGCAAGGAAGAACTGTAATTTTGGAAGGGAAATGTGGTTGATGTCAACACTAGGTATTGCTTTGTAAGTAAAGATCCTAGTTATTTTGTATATTCGGATGCCAGTGCTACCGGAGGTGGAGCAATTATTGACTTTAACAATGATTTGTGTACCAAAAAATGTGGTCGGAGAACGAGAGAGTTCAAAGTTCCAGGTGGAGGGAGTTGTCTGTTATTGAGTTTTCATTGCAATCATTTGCCTCAGTGTTCACAGCATGAAAATGGAGATTTACGCAAAATTAAAGTTTGCGTAAACCTGCGTAAAGTTGGTCATCCAACTTTACGCAAACTTTCCACGGCGCGTAAAGGTTTGTAAAGGTAAATTTACGCGCTCGGCTCTTAAAGGTTTCGTAAAGCTAGCATAAAGTTGTTGTAACAGCTTTACGCTCATTTACGCTACAAGTAAAGGTTTAGTAAGGTTGTCATATAATGCTAGCTTCCTAACAGCAATTTATTCCCGACACTGTTTTTAGTAAGTCGTTTGTGACCTGATACTAGTTCGCATAGTTTTTTTGATCCCTCATTTGCAATTGGTGTTCGATGTTGGTGTGCGATGTAAACAAGCCAACCACGCAAATTTTTTTTTTTGGTGCGAACGACTTCGTACACGCTTAAAAATGACGCTGAAAAGAAAATTCTGCTGGCAGAGTTCATGCAAAAGATATAGCTTGCGACTGTGCGGCAATTTTCGAAAAACAGCATATCTGTCGCGGCAAACACAATAGCCTTCAATACTCAGTAGTATTCCCTCATTGATTTCAGTCAGTATAAGGTGTTTCTTCCTTAACCGTCACCTCTCTACACGGGCCATTTTTGTTTTGTTTTTTTTTTTCGGCGGACGGTCCATACATGACATACATTTACTTTCCTTTCAACCTCTCTACTATGGCCACTTTCTTCGATGTCCCTAAGGTGGGCGTTGTAGAGAGTTTCAACTGTAATTTGATCACGTTGAAATAATTGGAAAATAAAGAAAAAATATCGCCTCGCAAAAACGGCGAGTTTTACTTAAAGAAAGAACGCATTACTTAAAGAGAAAGAACGCATTCACAAATTACTGTGACCATTTTACGTTCAACGGAATACTGGCTTCATTGTTGAGCCTCCTTTATCGCTTCCTTATTTTAAGTCCGCGGACTTCAGGTTTGGGAACGGACAATTTGTTAAAAGAAAGGGGCCTGGAAACAATAGAGTGAAGGGACACCTGGTCAGCGGGCTTGTTCCTTTGCACATGCTCAATCAGGTTCGTTGATTTGGCGTCCATTTTGAAAGTGTCCAACGGTTTCAAACTTGCTTCTTTGAAAGGTTGGAGATCGTTCATATATTATGCTTCTTGATAGCATCACAGGACATCTTAAGGTTGTTACAATTTATAATGGCACTATCAGCCTTTAGTAATCGATCACTTCTCAAGTGTGCAGCAACCCTTTCGGGACGAGATACTCAGTCAGAAGTGGAGACAGAAACATCGTGTGAAGCGCAAGCATTAACACTGGAATGTTCACAACACAGACCAAGACTGTATTACACGTATTACTAAGGCTCTTCGATACTCAAGATCTCGCTGAAAAGAGCAGATAGTAAGGCAAGGTAAGTTGTCCTGGCTCGCCTTTTCTCTAACTTTTTAAGCTTAATTCCAACTTGTTTATGACGAGAGTGACTGTCTCAAGTACTCAGTAACTAACATTTCAGTGAGCAATGAAACCAGCATTAACCGTTTAAAGTAAATTATAACTAAACATGTGTATTTATTTGGCATAACCTTTCAATACTAAGCAAGCAACGAGACCATGACGTTGAAGATGATAATGTAAAATCATGTAAGGACTTTGGGGGTCTGAAGGAGTAGAATTTCCTTGTTTTGTACTGGAAAATAGGAGTTTGGTCTCTGGTACTGGGAATTACTAAAAGAAAATAATGGAATTAAGAAAGGACATCTGTATAAAGTAAGCTTACATGTAATGTGATACAAACATTCTTATGAAAATTTTCACAGACTATAGAAGAACTAATAGACAGAATAGAAAAGTGTTAACAAGTGTTGAATTTGCAAGTAGGCAAAGATAATCTACGTAGTCTGGTTCTATATTTTCATGCGTCAGCCAATAACAAACCCAAGCTTCCCAATTCCCGGGGCAGTCATAGCGTCATAAGTGGTGAATAATTTAACAGCATGCATGTATTTTTTGAAGCAGGTACAAAAGTTTATTTTTGATTTTAAATTACGTGGGTTTTAACTTAAATGAACAGAGAATGAATAGACATTTTCATGAGTCTTTCAATGCATAGCTAATGCAGACCATGATTGAATTAGAATGTATTTTCATGTAAGTGCCAACATAGTTGTTAACATCTTCACAGTTTCATACCTTCATCTGCAGTTCAAAGTATGATTCATTTCATATATTACCATTAATTTTAATCTTCATTGTGCACTGCTCCTATGCAATTATATTGTGGTTCTTGAGAGGATACAGTGCAGCACATACTGTCAGGAAATTGAATGCCTTACTTTTTGGGAAGCAAAGCACACAGTCATGTTAGAAACCAGAAATTGTTCTATTTGCAACATAGTAGTATCGTCGGTAAATCTAGGTTTAAAGGAAAATAAAATTTAAAGAAACAAGTTGTGAAAGATAAGACTCTTAAGAGAGTCATAGCAGTCATAGTGGTTTGGATTCTCTTGTCTACATACACCATTATTAATCTGCAAATACAACTGTCTCTCTTGTGAAATGTCCCTGGTGGCAAGGAAAGAAAATAGGCTGCTTTATTTACAGGGTACACTGTACATTATTATTAGGAGGCATTGTTTTCAAGATTGAGGATAAGGGCTTTAAATAGCAAAGTGGCTTCTCTCCTGTTACATTAACTAGGAACCTTGAACGTTTCGTATTAAAAAGGAAAAAAAATATATTAGGTAAAGTTTCAGGAAAATTTAAAACTTTTGGGAATAAGGTGCTTATATGTTTCTATATTTTCCCTGAAAGTCTTTGGTGGAGCTCATGAGAAGGCTAGGAAAGTTTATTGATTTGGAACTTTAGTCCGGGACAGGTAGAAATTTAGTTCGAACATGTAAACCTTTGATATGACTTGTCCGTGGGACAAGCACATTTTTAATTAGAAAAATAAAAATAAGAAACAGTTGCCTTAAATATTCCATTTAACTTTGCCATTCCACTGCCAGTTGTTTCATCCATTTGCTTTTTTACAAGCTCTGTTGTAGGTTTAATTCAAAAATAATATACAAGGGTAATAATGTGATTAAATAATGTGATTAAAAACATTAAATGCCCGTTGCAAGCTAAACTTTTTGGACAAGAACTCTAGGTTTCGGACAACCAAATTTAATGTATTGCTTGTGTGAAGGACAAGTGGATAGGAAAATTTCTCTCTTACCAGGGTACAAAGAAGGTGATTTTTAAAGCTTGCCATTCGGGCAAGCTGAAGCTAGCATATACTAGCCCAAATGTCATTTCAACTAGCCCCCAAACCGTTTTGATGAGCAGAATTGATTTCACAGTTCTTCTTTAATTTGAATTCCTCAAAAAAACTTCACTTGCCCATCGGGCAAGTTAAGTTCAAAATTCACTAGCTCGATAGCAAAATCCACTAGCCCCGGGGTATCGGACACTACTTTCTTTGTGCACTGCTTACTCTCTAATAATAATAACAATGTACATCCAGTGGTTTTTCATAGCACTTTACAACGATATTAATGGATGATACTTTTATAAAAATGCATACATTAAAATAAAAAAAAGATATACATTATAATAAACCATTGTTAATAAATTTAACATATATATATGTTTCAGTCTCCCCGACTAGTAAGGCACTGTGCCTGTGTTATAAGACATGAGACTTTAATAAAGTTCATTACTATTATTATTATTATTATTATTATTATTATTATTATTATTATTATAGGGTTTCCATGTAGCATTTTCCCCTGATTTTCACTCAACTGCAAGTAGGGTTCTAAATGTAAATATTATTGCCTTTAAGGAAAGCCTTTAACTCATACTAGTCAAACATTTTGAATCTTTAACAGTCAGATGAATCTTATTCAGTTGTGTGAATTTGTGGACATTGAAATCATTTGCTACTCAGGTTTTGCACTGTTATTAGACCACTTGTGGAAAATGCCTTATCATTTTTTTCAAATTTTTAGTCTTGGTTTGTGAAAAGAGGCATGTGGGGAACCCTGTGTCAAGTAAAATTGTGCTAATTGTAGTAATTTGGCCGTGAGTGTAGGAAAAAATGTTATTAATTAGTAATAGCAGGCGGTGTCCTCTGGCAACTTAGGGGGTGTTTACATGACACCGGGGCAACTTTTGCCCCGGAGCGAGTTCACTCCGGTTCCCTCTCATAGCTCTACATTTGTTACATGATACCACCACAAAATGTCATGCAGGTGCGAGTCACCCCAGCATGAGTTCACCCCGGTTCTTGTACCGGGGCGAGAATTTCACTCTGGTACAAAATCTCATGGCAGTATCATGTAAATGCGAAACGACCACCCGTTTCAGCATGAAATCGGACTGCCGGTAGACTGGAATGGGTAGCGCACGCGTAATGTTTGCGATTTTGAATCACACTTGTATTTTATCAACATGAAGTGTACCTTCAAATAACGAGATATGAAATGACTCAGTCATAATGTAAACCCAATACAAAATCAAAAAGTCATCCCGGTATGAGACTCGCGCCGGTGTGAGTTTTCTCATGTAAACACCCCCTTACTGTACATGTACTTGTGCCTTTAGTGCGCGATTAAGTGTATTATCACTAGCCTACGAATAATCTGTGTAGTTTACTCAAATAATACTTGCTTTCTATTTATTCAGCAGATCAGCCTGGTATGGGATGTTGGTGACAGAAAGTCCTCTCAAAGCAAACAGGATTAATACATGTTAATTACAAGCCTTAGTCTTGTAAAGTGGTTCCAGGGCTGTCACTAAGGGCCATAAACCAGACTTTAACTCGGCTACTTTGAGCCCAATACTTGGCTGTTTTTAGAGGAAATGAAACTTTCCACATTTTCAATGTCCCGCTCACTAATTTCACTTAAACCCTGCAACTTGCAATCTTAGTGACAGCCTTGTGCATCTAACTTTTACATCATCAGTTTATGAAAATGATTTGTTATTTGGATTTTGTTGTTAAATTTGACTGTAAACACTTCTGGGAGTGAAAGGGCTAAATCAAGAAACCATCAGTGTTATACATGTATTAGGCTTTCAGTCTTTTTATTTCTTATCTAAAATTGTTTAAGCTTTTAATTTGAATTATGCTAAATTATACTAAATATTTTCATTTTGAAAGAGACCATTTTGACCCACCTTTACATTAATTTGTGTGTTAGAGTTGCTGTTTTTTATCAAAATTTAACTTCATCAGTTTTCTTGTACACCCTGTACCTTACATGTAAATGCTAATAATTATTTTAAACTATAAATCATCTTAATTTGGTATAATACTAAGTTAAGATGATTTTTTTGGATATTTTGAGAAGACTGTTTTGACCCATTTGAAAAGTTTATGTACACTGTATCTTCTTATTTAAACCTTACGTGTTGGAAAATTTTTTTTTTTTAATTTTTAATGTAATGACAAAGATGCTAACACAGAAATAAATCATGTTATATTTAGAAAATTCAGGTTTAGAGTATCAGTGTGTTTTGTTTTTTAAAACCTTGCAATATCACTCTTTGCGGGACTAAACTTAAAGAATGCAATTCGATTTGCAGCTTTTGCAGTTACAACAATGTAGCATACCTGGCGATTTTCATGGGATTTGAAATGTAAAAATAAAGATAGGCAATTTGAAAATTGGTTATGGTAATGCAAAATTGGAAACGGAAAGGGGCCCTATTTTTTAAACTACTACTTATTCAAAGTTCATCTGCTGGTTAAACAATATAACTCCATTAAAGCAAGTTATAACTTAATAGTAGGGATGACTAATGTCAGTTTGAAGTTGGGTTCTTATTTTTCTATAGGTCTATTGGGTTTTCAACGCTTTATAACTTTTCGTTTTTGTTGTCAGTTTTGAAGAATAAAAACAAAATTTCTGGCCTAATCCTTTAACTGTGTGTTGAAGTGTTGTTACATATTAGGGTATTTTATTTTATGTCGAAACTTGAATTGAGGATTACTCATACAATTATTTGTAATGTATATATGAGTAATCCTCCATGACTATGGAGAGACGATGGGGAACCAAAGAAAACAACCGGTATTAAGTACACAACAAAAATCCAATGTTTGTGTGGAAAATTCAGATATTTGACATGGACAAAAATAAAATCTTGATTGTTAAAAGTTTGGTAAGAAAAATTTACCGATTACCATTATATTTCCCTTTATTTTTAAAGTTTCCAGTGTGTTTATGTGTGTATATATATATGGCGTAAAGGAGCTTGTATTTTCGCTTTACGCAAGCTTAAAGTAGGGTTTACACAAGCTTTACTCAAAACGTAAAGGTGTTGCGTAAAGTTTTTGTTTCATTACGCCAGCTTTATATGTACGCGTAAAGGTGCTGTAAAGCTGAACTTTACGTAGAGTAAAGGAAGCGTAAAGTTGCGTAAAATTCAACTATACGCTGACTTTACGTTGTCATTACGCTCACGTAAATTTGATTTTTCATGCTGTGGTTGGGAGGATCACACGTTAAGTAGTTTACTCATAGCCAAGAAGCTGCTAAGATTGTTGAAGTGGGCAGCGTGAAATTAGGTTTGCATAAGATGACCCGAAGGTTTTTTGATATTTGTATTCGATCGGGGGATTCATTTAGAAGTGCAATGGATCCTTCGCACTTCGAATCAGCAAGCTGATTATGTAAGTCGTTTAATTGATACTGATGATTGGCAAATTACTGAAGAATTTTATTTTTTCGTGATGGCCGGTGGGGCCCGCATAGTGTTAATTGTTTTGCTAATTATTATAATCACAAGTTCCCCAAATATTTTTCGAGGTTTTGAAACCCCAATACCTCGGGTTTTAATTTTTTCTTTCAGTCTCTTCGAGGAGAAAATTGCCCAGTAGTCCCTCCAGTTGGTATCGTCCCACGCGTATTGCATCATTTGAAATCTCAGCAGGCCGTTGGTACGCTCGTTGTATCTCTTTTGCCTTCGGCTCATTTCTGGCCTTTAATTACACACAAGTATAGTAGTTATCTTGTGGCTCACAGTATTCATATCGGGAATGAGGTTCTAATCCGCGGAAGAAACCTTAATTCGCTCTTAGGGTCTGATCGTTTCACAGGAAATATTATTGCCTTTAGATTGCAATTTAATGAGTAATTTATTAGACGGTGTGTCCATTAGCCTAACAGTTATTTACATTTGGTGGCGCTGGCCAAAGCAATATGTTGTTTATCTATATGGCACTGGCCTAATTAATAGTCTATCATTTCATGTGGCGCTGGCTTAAACAGCGTATAGTTAATTTATGTGGCGCTGGCCCAATCAATGGTTTTTGATTTACGGGGCACTGGCCCATACAATGGTCTATCGTCTTATGTGGTACTGGCCCCAACGATGATCGATTTTTGTACGGTTATTAAAGGATGTTCTTTTTTGTTCTTTTAGTATATATGTTTTGTTCTTGTCTTTCCAGGTAATCTTATCAAGTAATTCCTGGAAAGGCTTTCAACAATTTTCTTCAGTCAACGTTTATGAGGCCGGTTTTAGAAGTTATGTTGAAGTCCATGGCGGATACAACTACTAAAGGCTACGTTCGCGTTATTAGAAAGTTCTTAGAGTGGTCTAAAAGTAGACATTTCAACATGCAGTTACCTTTTCCTCTTAGTGTTTATTCTCTATATTTATTTGAAGTTCAGCAGTCTTGCACCTCTAGTTCCTCAGTCATTTTAGCCCATGCTGCCCTTAAATGGTTACATTCTTTTGTCCCTAGTTTGGATCGTAATCCTTTGGATAGTGAATTTTGCAGGAATATTATCGAATCTGCTAAACGCCAGAAATCACAGCCAGTTATGAAAAAGAAGCCTATTACCACAGACGTCATAAGGAGTATTTTAGATATTCATAACAAGAAAGATGCTAATTTAAAGAGTCTTCGTATCGCTGCGTTATGCTCTTTAGCATTTGCAGGACGACGAATTATGCAATATCGTTCCGAAGCATATTGAATTTCACAGCGATTATATAAGAATCTTTGTACCTCGTAGTAAGACAGATGTTTATAGGGAAGGGAATTTCGTCTTTATTAGTGCATCCAGGTCTAAGTACTGTTCAGTTGGTGTTTTACAACGGTATTTAGATTTATCTGGTATTGACTTATGTAGTTCTCTCCCTTTATTTAGACGGCTTGTTTTTCACCGTACCGTAGTTACGTTCTAGCTATACCCTGAAAAGTGAAAATATTTCTCATACTACTTGTAGAGATATCTTCAGGGATACCTTAAGTCGGCTGGGCTACAACCCTAATGATTATGGTCTTCATAGTTTAAGATCCAGTGGCATTGCATCTGCGGTACGTAATAGTAGTAACTCGATTCCAGAAAGACTTCTTAAAATACATGGTAGATGGAAACCTGATTCTGCCAAGGATTTGTATGTTGAAGAAAGCCTTGAAAACAGGTTACAAGTAACTAAGTATTTAGGTTTGTAATTTATTATGGAGCGTATATTAATTTCTGCATACAGAAGTATATAAAGAATTGTAAAAACAACAACAACAACAATAACAACTTTGTAATTTTTTTTTGCAGTCCACCCTGTATTAGTAACTATCTATCTTATAATAAACTGTTTTGGATCCGCTTGCACATCCTACCATATTTCTCGTGTGATTTGTTTGTATTACGGGAATTTAAGGGTAAAATGATACGTTTGTTTGAGCGAAGCGAATTAGAACGTAATTAAGCTATATTCTGATGTAATGCTGCTCTTAACGTTATATTCTCACGAAGAGTTTCCACAGTTGTAGCGTTTGTTAAAAAACAATTTATCAAAATGTGCAGCCTTATTAAAAATTACGAATATATCACTCGAACACTAAAACGTTATCACAAATACACATTGCCAGATAGTTAGAATTAAATGACTAAAATTCATAAATGGCTGAGGTGTCCAAACAAAAAAATTGAGCAGGTGAAAATCATTGATAGTTTCAAACTGAGAGAGTAAGTGTCGATGATAAACTGTCCAACAGTCCAAACATTCAGCAGCAAAAAATACTAGGTAAACTGCTTTGATCAGTCTTTTAAAAGGTCCGTTACTCGCATTAACTGACTGTCACATGCCGGGAAAATCGGTTGAAATCCCTTTGAAAAGTAGTCCTAACTTAACTTATTTCAAGAAATATGTCTTCCTTTATGTTTCTAACACCAAACTTAATCTCTTGATACTGAAACTTTGTTTGTTTATTGGTCTCAGTGACATGCGTTCAAATTTCATCTTCTGACGGAAGTTCCAGACTTGAAGAGAAAGGCAGAGAAAAGCGGAAAATTGTATGCGCACACGCACAAAGATTATAGTCTTAACCATTACAAAACATAATTAATATTTTGCGCCAAAGAATTATACGTTGGTTAAATGAATACTCCGTCGTTCTCTTGCAGGCAAAAATTGGTTAGAAAAGGAGTCTCTTAAGATATTTTTTATCCTTGAGAAGCACAATACAGCGTTATCTAAGAAATCGTGGCTAAAGTGCTGCATTTTGACTGACAGCAAGTACCGTGTATAAACTCACGAGAAAAGTTCAGACAGGTGAAAAGGAAAGAGCAATTTTCAAGCAATTTTATGCGAAAAAACTCAAACCGCGTTAACTCTTTCTAAAGACAGATATTCGCGTCGCTTTCGCAAAATATGAATGCAATTTATGAAATAATGGTCAGGCCAGCCTGTTTAGAATTTTTTTTAGTAACTAAAAGCATCTGGCATGAGTAATTCAATCCCTGCAGAACTTCAGCCGAAAAAACATCGTTTAAAATTATTGAGTTGAAGGAAAAGATGGGCCGTTTAAGCAACAAATTCCAAAGTATTAGCTATGGATTAGCATAACAAAGAGGTAACACCTTAACTTTATATCATCGTTGTCATTATTATCATAGTTAGCCAAGACGCCTGCGTGATATCGCTTAATAACCAATATATTAAAAATAAAGTGTCGACTACTGTTGACCTTCAAATGCTTATTTCAATAAACATTCTGAACATCAACAGTAGTCGACACTTAATAAAGAATACATGTTGAATAAAATCGCCTGGGTTAACTAAACGGTTTTACCCTATAAATAGTTGGAATCACATTTTAGTGAAAATGTCCAGAAAGAAATACTTAACAGTGTGAAATATTACTTACAACAGCAAAAAAGCTAATTTAATTACCATTATTTTGGTTTAATTATTTGAAAAACTGGTTTTTGTCCTGGAAACAACAAATTTCTTCTACTTCACAGACCTTTCCCTAAATTGTGGCAGATCCAAGAAGTGCAGACTTTGCATAGTTCTGACCCTCTGTCAACAATTCCATTTTCCGTCGAGTGACTTTTTTTTAAAAGTCCTTCAGTATCGCTCCCAGAGCTATTGTTTTATTATTATTATTATTTTTTAATATCGAACAACATACTAACGTATTAAAATCCTATTTACAATTAATTCACTGTAAAAAATAAAAAATATATATTTCGTCAAAACACTATTTACAATTCCTTTCGTTAAAAAAACACTTAGTTTTGATTAGAAAAAAAAATTCATTTCATTAAACAAAAATTATTCAAATTGAGAGCATTTCAATTCAGTTCGAATAAAAAAGAAGAAACTATTTTCAAGGTCAATTGCATTCTTACTAAGATAATCCCTAAAAAAAATCACTAAAAAAAAGAGGAAAATTAAATAGTATTCCAGTATTTTAATGACGAATATTTGCCATTTAAAAGTAAGGAAACACATCAATAGTCCGATTGAATGGCTCCTTTAACAACTTCGACGTCGATATCAACATTCTTAATGTCACATGGCACTCTTCTTGTCCTAGAGCCTCTAAGACAAACCAACGCAGATCTCAAGAATGCGAATGAGTTTCTGGTTCTGATCCATGAGTTTGTTTTGGCATACTGCTCCCCTTTTTTGATGGCAATCAGCTGTGCTAAACGGCTATGATACATCAAGCACTCCTTTCCCATTCCGCCAGTTGTGGTGAAGACCAAAGGTGTCTAGGACTCTCTCTGAGTAGAGACTCTTTTTCTCGTTCTCATGGATACGATAAATTTGTTGTGGCTCTAGGTCCCTATATATACGATACAGTATTAGGGTGACAGACCCTCACATCGAAGAATGCTGATCGATGTCGCTCCCAGAAACCACGCGCGTGGATATCTAACCTCGCATCCTGAGCTTTGTTAGATCCTCTGTTTAAATGTTCGCCGGAGATGTCTTGAAGTACTGGTTATTATTATTATTATTATTATGTCGCAGTATGAAACTTTGGAATGCTGTCCACATTATGAGTAGTATAACCTACACCACTTGAGAAGGTATACTTAGAAGTAAAAAAAGGTCGATACAATGTAAAACCTCCGCTATCTCTACTAAAAACATATTTATAATAATATCACACTCTAATGTTCTAAAATATCTAAGTAAAAACGTCAGCAAGCTTGTGTTTCTAGATTTCTAGAGAAAAAACAAAAACCTAAAAACTTAAGTCCATAGCGCCCTAACTAAGTATTTATCTTAAATGTTCTGGCAATGTTTAACGTG